AGAAATATCCAGAAAGAGGGCAAGGAAATTATTGAACTTGCTCAGTAGCAGTAGCTGAAGTTACTCGAGTTTGCTGTACAAATACTCTGCCTGGTAGCTCAGGCACTCTTTTTCTACTGAGGGTCCCCTATTAACTCTAATATTCTAGAAATAAAGGGGCATTGGTGCAAAAAAGGGCAGTGTCAGGGCAGAAATGGCCAGGTAGGAGGAACAGGAACTCTTTTACATCTGCATGGCAACAGAAATATCTTGTGTTCTGAAAGGCAGGTTTGGCCTTCTGCACATGTTAAGCTGCAGTAAAAGAATGGCAGTACAACAGTTATTCAGAAAAATGCCTCAGCCTCCGCTTTCGTGTTACAAACAAGTTGCTTATATAGCTCTTTTACACAGCAAAACTGAGAAAAAATATTTGGTAAAAGAAAAACTTGAATGCAAAACTTTAAAAAAAAAAAAACTAACAAAAAACACCACCAACTGCTGAGAAATCATACTATGAAACTTGCAACTGACATCATGCTTTTGAACTTGACTTCATGAACACTGTTCCCGTCATGTACAGCATCCTATCACTATATAGGTAAGATTCAACATTACAGTTAAAGGGTAGATTTGAGCTTTGCTGAAGTTTTGAGTTTCAAGCACCTACAATCCAGGGGATTTAGACACAAAATTTATCTGCATAGTACTCATAAATATTTGCCTATGTCTTGACAACACTATGTCTTGTTTTGGAAGTTTTTATCCAGAATATAGTGACTGAGTCAGGGAAAACACAGCTTCAGACCACCTTTCCACCTACTTGGCTGGCGAGGGGCCAAACAATTCCCAAAACGGAGCAGCCAACAGCTACCATGAGGATCATTCTCTCAGCTGGGTTTCTTGAGATCTCAGTATTTTCCACATGCACAGCCTAATATGTCTCTGAACAGCACTGATTATACTCCTCTCCGAAAAGGGAATCTTCACCTGACCTATTATGTCCCCTCTGGACCACTAGAAGAGCACAGAAGTTATACACCCTGGTCAAGCTTCTGACATTTCACATTATTATATTTCAGAAGATTGTTATTCCTGTACTTTAAATGTATTACCTTAGATTCATAGTGAACTGGCTCTATGTATACATAATTTCAGTTTTTTATTGCCATGAGAATTTATCTTTCACAACTCTGCAGTTTCAGTTACTCAAACAATAGGAATAATATAACGTTGATGCAGATGTTTCAGCAGTAGATTGCCATATACCGTACAGAATGCTGAACGTTCTATTCATTATCATTTTGCAAAAGAAATAAAAAACACTAACACAGAGAAAGAAATATATGTTATTATTCCCAGATGTACAAAAAATAAATGATATTACCATAAAAGTGCCATGTATGTTTGAGAATCAACAGGATTGCAGAGGATGTGACCTTCTAAGGCAGGAGTTGGTTCTTGGATCCACAGAAACAATGTGTCACTTGTGCCAAGGCTAATCTGGAGAGGAAAAAAAAAAAATAATTGAAGTGTTATCACTATGTTCATGGAAAGCAATACAGAAATTAAATTAAAAGCATTTGTTATTACCACTAATTGTTTTTAAATTACACATTAAGTCAATTGGATTCATGTTGAAGCTAGCTCTAACTTAGGTTGTCACGCCAGTGAAATACATACTAGATGGAGACTTAGGTTTTAATGTCTGGAGCATTAGTTAAAAATAGTCACAAGAGTTTATTTAAAATCTTTCAGGCAGCTTACAGATTGATAGAAATAAAACAAGCGTGAATCCAATAAACAGAAAATCAACACTAGCAGATAAATTTAACTGATAAATACATGAAATGTAAAATAGCTGTAGGTTCATTTATTGAGAGATATGGACAGTTTTCAGGAGAATGTTTTGACTTACTGCAATATCTCCTTCTTGAAGTCTCATCCCTGCCAATGATGCTGAAAGCAAAAGGTCAGAATACCAGATAAAAATTTATTTGTTTGACTCAATTATGGCATGTTGAATGAGATATCATAATACATTGCATTCACCATCTCAAAGTAGGATATAAATTGCAAATATGCTCATCATGGCCCTGGCCTATACACCATAAAAGATGGGCAAAGCATTTGGGTAAGGGAGTGATTTTTAACAAAATCAAAATGCTTGAGACAAAAGACTACGGAACTGCATGATTATCTAATGTTTTATGTATTCAGGTTTTAAATACAGTGGATCCCTACTTAACAACACACTTTAAAGAAGAAACACTCCCCCTTATTTCAAACTACTCACATATTTATTGGACTAAGCTGGATTTGAATCTCTAGAAGAAAAATTGGACTTTTGGGAAATGCAGAGCTTAACCATCTCCCAGGATGTGAATGTAAAATATACCACGATGAAGCCTCCATCTTGATTCAAACCTGCATATGCTACTGTAATACGAGTAAGTATTTTCTTTTCCCAGTCTTGAGAAAGAGATGAATTTACTCTACACTGAAACTGTCTCCAGGAGTCAAGAAAGTGACCCTAAATTAACACCTTCCCTTATACTGAGATCTACCAGTCTGACAAAAGGACAGCTCTAATTCTTAGAGAAAGCCTACAAGGTCCATCTCCACCTTTTTGCTTGAAAAGATACAACAGCATCTTTTTAATTCATAGTTTCTAAGTTAAAATGTTAGCAGTTCATAGTAAGAATAGTTTCTTAGGGGCAGGAAACCAAAACTGAAGTTACCAAGAGGCAAATGAAGTCACCTGTAATTACTAGGCAAAAGAGAATTCATTTGTCATACCCAGCTTATCCAAGATGTCTATATCTCAGAAAAACCAGTGATAGAAGGCTGTTAGGAAAAGGTATTAATGCTGATAAGCACGATATTCTTTCACTGTATAGGGAGCATCTGAGAATCAATGAGATCGATTTAGAATTTTAGTACATACATAATCATATTCACTGAATGTTATACATTTAATCACCTCACCTGGATTGTCTCCTGTAAACGCTACTATTTTACAATCTGGGCTAAACCCATAACGCTGACTATAATATGGAGAAATGGGCCCCTAAGGAAAGAAAGAGAGAGAAAGAGAAAAAAAAGCTCAAAAATTAGAAAGTTATCTTGCAATGTATGACGTAAGGTGTTGTAACATACAACTGAAAAACCCCAGAGCAGCTACAATAACAATTTCTATGTATTTAAGGTATGAATGAATATTTTAAAGATTTTTAACCCAATTTTTTTGTTGTTGAGAACCTCACAGAAATACCCTCGGATTAGATTTTGAAATAGGTTAAATAAATAGTAGCATTTTAGCTTTGGGTCTTTCTCCAGTTATTCACATCAAGTAACATAAACACATCCATCTGTTTTGCACACATACATGAATATTAATACATAGAAATTAGAAATTCAATGCAAACATAAGAGGAAACACAACATTAATATACATCACAATATCAAATGCTGGAATATGACCCCTATTATTTTAGGGGTCAAGAACTGTGTTCTTTTAAGTCACATTTGATAGCCATAGAGAAAAATAGGAGAAGAAAACTCTCCATAAAAATACAAAGACATCTATAAGGATTTTTCATATGTTCCTCTCCATTACAGAAGATCAGCACTGAATTCAGAGGGACCAGGTGATGGGTATCTACACTCTCTTACATGCGCACCAGCTAAATCAACAGCTCTTTTTGTGCTGAGTAGTAAGCCTGAATTCATTTACTCTGAGAGATGTGCGGCTTGATTTGATTTCACCATTATGCTACGTGAACTGAGGAGCTTTAAATATCCCAAATTATTCACAAAGATTACCTCGTTAACTCTACAAACAGTTTAAAACAAGGTCTCTGTCAAGAAATGCAAATGTTGGGTTCTGTTTCTGCAGTAATAAATACCGTGCACAGTTCTGCAGTGACCTGGTGCTTGTGGGCATAGGAGGGGACCCCAAAGATTCTTACCACTGGAGCATTTATGAAAACTTTTCTCAACATAGCCCAGGGCGTGCAAGAATCCAAGGAGATCAATGATGAAAGCTATGACAGACACCAGCTAGTAATTTTCAAAGATGTCTTTTTCTGCTCTGGCATAGACATTCACAACACACCTGGAAATATTAAATCAAGCAGCATAGCTCTGAGGATAACTGCGCACGCATGCTTGCACGCACACACAAACACACTCCAAGAAAGTGCTATTAGCAGAACTCTCAGAACAAGGCCCTATTTGTTGCTTACAATTCTTCTCAACAGGCACATACCAGGACTGAATGGGATGGTACAGGGCATCCTAGTTTCTCTTCTAATCCAGGTGCACAAGCCTCAAGGCAGGACACTGACCATACCTTTTCCCAAATCTGCAGCAAGTTCATACCAGAACCTACAAGACATATGAAACCAGGAAGCATATATGATTAAACACAAGACAGTACTGTATCAGAAAATTCCACCTCGTTACAGGCAACATAAAATTTACAGATGCATATTTTACATTCAAAGAGAATGGTTTCAGCTCTTCTAAGCATAAAGGATACTGACAATTCAGCCTCTGAATAGCTTTTACTTGTAAAGGTAGCAGAAAAGGTTTCTCTGATGCACAATGCATCAACTTAGTTATTCCCGAATTAAGAGCAAAAAGAAGAACATGGACGCCTCCCTATCAACCCCTACCCAAATCTTCCACCTTAGACAAAGACTTCACCACAACTATCAAAAGGTGACACAGCAATGTCACTTGAAGGCGTGTTGTGATCAGCTGAGACCTAACAATGAAATTACCCCCGGGTGGTACAGCTTCACACTACTCCTAACTGTGAGTAGAGTATCATACAAACATCTAAATCCATGCTGACTAATCTTCTTCCATATCAATGTTTTCTTCTTCAGAGATGACAAAATAAAGGCTTAGAAGTCCAAAAGAAAGCAAGAGGTCAAATTTTCAAATGTAGTCTCTAATTTTGAGGCTACTTTGGGAGGTCCAACTTTGAATACCAAAGTCATGACTTTCAGAAATGCTGAGCAGCCCAACCAAAATCTGCAACACCTGCAAGCGTGCAACACTTCTGAAGTCTAGATTCTGTGTGAATTACGGGTTGCAAAAACCTACATAACTGATTTGGTCACTTATTTCCTCACCAGAACTATCACTAGATCTGAGGAAGGCCTGTGCAGTTTTGGTTGGGTTTCCCATTGCTTTTTCCTCACTATTTTATTGCTGGTTTAAAAGTGAACTGAAGCTGGTTAGTGGCTGAATCTACGTAACATACTGAGCACTCCACATCCCTTGCTTATATTTCTGAGATGCTTTTAATTGCACATTTTATTAGACTTGAAAAATCTGTATGCGTTTCTGGTTAGTACTGCTCAGGGACATATTAGTCGTATTCTAGATTAACAACATTTTCATTTCAAAGACCGTTTAGCCCACGACTTATTTATCTCAGAAACACAGACACATTCTCAGCTGAGCACAGTGGAAATCCTGAAATTTACTTCCATTCAATACATCTTTAAGCTTTTTAAAACACAAAGATGGTGACGTCGACCCCACATGTCTGTGGAAGAAGACTATGGTTGTCATCCTGGGACACAGAGGAAAAGAAGGGATGCAACTCACATCTCAGCCAGCACATCACAAGACTGTAGCAGTGCTCTTATTCTGAAGAAGGGCACATGCCTGTAACACACTCCAGACACTGCTGGTTATACATGCACAAATGAGTCCACCCTATTAACTCCCAGCAGCCTTTTTCACGTAGACTTAATAATGAGTTTAATAACGTTTATAAATGAAGTATATGTTTGTGCAGCCAATCATAAGCACCATCAACGAGGTCTGGACCTAGTGCTTCACATAGTGTTGTAAACAGAAAGTGTTCCACACCCCAGCTGAGACACTGAAATATCCCAAGCCAAACACTAGGATATTTGGATTTATACTTAATAACATAAAAAATAGAATTAAATTTATTAAAATCAATCAATCCCATTTCAGGCAAATTAAACACACTTAACAAATTATGCACTGGTTGGTTTGGCTCATGATGCAAAAGCAAGAATTTGACAGAGCACAAAGTGCAACACGCCTTGCACAGTCAAAAGGTGTATTTTCCTTTTCTACTGTCAAAATCACTACCACCCAAGGAAAAGGAAAGATGGCAAGATTTATCCTAGCTTCTCTCAGTTCTCTATGTAAGACCACTCTTAAATCTAGTCATCCCCTCCTTCCAGGGGTAAACTGAGCCCAGTATCGCTGTCTGCATTTCCCAGAGGCAGAGGGTGTGAGCAGCCTCATGTCCCAAGCTCTCAGGCATAACAAGGCTTTCTATCAAGAAATATGTAAATCTGTAAGTTTTCCTGGAAAAGTCCTTAATTTAAAAAGCCAAGAATCCCAGTCACTAAATTAAATTAATCAGTGAGCAACAGAATCTTTAAATAAATACGAATTTTACTAGAGAAATGTTAGCTGTTGTTTTCTGTGGTTTTTTTGGAAAAAATACTTTCCCCTCCCCACCCCACAAGCCTAGAGAAATGTTTAACCAGTATCCTCCAACACAACTTTTCAAGACATAACGACACCCTCCACCCTTCCCTGCATAAACCAGGAAAAACATTAACCTTTATAATTGAAAAGGTCTAAGTTTGTATTATACAGAAACAACACTTCAGTGTATTGACTGGTACATACAGTGGCACAAAGACTTTAATATGCCCCAAGAAAAGAAAGATGAGCTAATTTACCCCGCCCTCAGAAATTCATTTAAAAGACTCAAGACAACCGTTTTACAAAAACTATTAATCTGTTGGCCTGGATTCATCCTATCCAACTGTGGGCACTTGCACGAGAATCTCTACTCAGTGGAAAATAAAAAACAGAGCTGAATGCTCCCTAGAACCGCTTCTCTTCCTCCTTTGATTACACAAAGAGTGATGATGCACAGCGAGTTCCTAACTCAAGCACCTCTGGCCATGATCTACGCCACTAAGTTTAACATAGAAAAAAAAGTAATAATCTGAGAACTAAGGGGGAGAGAAAAAAAAAACAAAAACACACACAACAACAACAAAAAAAACCAAAACAACAAAAACCAAAGGCAGCCTTTTGACTTGTCATTCTAAATGGATAGCCCATCAGCAATGAAGGTCAAGAGCCAAGGCCATGGTCTAGTAAGGATTGAGGAAAGGGTCAATACGTGGATGAACAGGATTCAGTATTTCACTACAAGCATCACCAACTTTTAACATAAAGTGACGAGAAGCACAATCAGGACTTGCTAATATTTACTCCATATACAAAAATGTTAAGTTGGGGGGGGGGGGGGGGCCAGAAAAAAACCAATCACTTTCATCACAAAGACCAAACAATGCAGGCTAACTGGTTTTATTAATCAACAAAGTAAAGATCAATACTTGCACACATTTATAAACAGTTAAGTGCATCTGTATTACAGCACTCTGGATTGCCTTTTCAGTGAGCTAAAATCATAAGCAGTGTAACTCTGCTGACACCTCACAAGCTACATTAGGAGTAAATTCAGCCCACCAAGCTTCCTTTTGAAAAGGCTTCAGTTCAAAGCATCCCTGTTTGATAGAACAACAAAAACAAGTATGCTAAGCTATGATTTGCCTAAGGCTCTTAGAAAAGCATTTCAAAAGATAAAGCTTCTCTAGGTCAAGAGCTGAATTACCGTTCTTTAAGGTGTCTTCTAAAAGAAACAATGCCTCAAGTGTTCAAGTTGTTTAGGTCCCAAATGCATCTTACTTTTAACATCTACACAATATAAATGAAAATCATTCTTCATTCCACCAGAATGTAATTTGATTTTTTTTTAAATCAATCACCCAGGGTGCTCAGCCATTCACAAGGAGTGATTTGAACCTTACGAGATTGCACCTTTAAAAAGGAAAAAAAAATTCCTAAAACTGAATAGCACATTTCCTACAATAACCTGCAAATCTAGAGAGATAAGTTATTGTGCGGAGCTAAACAATTTGACAGGGTCTTTTAAAGACGATATGACCTGAAGTTAAACCTACAGAAATGAAGAATAGGTCCATTATCTGAAGATTATTTTGAGAGATGCATTTTAAACTACAATATACAGGCGCAACGTAGAAGATCAATAGAACTGCAAGAAATCGTAAATGACAAGGAAACAAGTTTTTCAGCTGGATCCAAATAACTACTGCATACTTTATAATTATATTTTATTACTGGAATTAGAATTCTCTCTCATTATGTTAACAGAATAAAGGAACAAACAAGACAAAATACAGCTTACAATGCTGAAAAATCCTTTGTCTTGCAAAGAGAATTATAACATCCTGTTTAGTTCTCTTATCTTCTTTCACACAAAGATTTAATAATCTTACATGCTCTGAACAGTAGATAATATTTATTCAAGTTCTGTAAATATCCAGAGGTGTAATAGAACAGGCTCTCCTAGAGCTGTTTGAAAAATGCAATACATTTTCTAAGAAAATATTCCAATTAAGCAAATTTTCATTTTCTTTAGTTTAAAATGTTTTTGGTTTTCAATCAAACACAGAAATTTTCATGTTCTGAAATTGAAGAAGCATGGCTTTCCCCCACTTGCTTCCAAGTGGAAAAGGCAGAGGTAACATTACAAAAAAACCAAACCAAAACAAAAAACTACCAACCCAACCCCAAAATTGAGATTTCATTTTTTAATGCTTATAATTTAAAAAATTTGATTCAAAATTAACACGTCACTCTCATTGAAAGATAAAAAAACCAACATATTTCTTATTCAGAAAAAGTACCTTGAAGATTTCACCATACCTCTTTGAAATACAGTACATGGAGCTAGTTCTGTGGGTTGCTGAGCAGCTGAAGCGCTCAGTATTTTGGCCTACTGAGGTGCAAAGTGCAAATCTCCAAAGAGTTATTGTGGCCAATAATACCAAAAAAATAAAATTCAGCTGTGAAAACACATGGGCAACAGAACAGGACCAGAAGATAGATGTACTAATCTCACAACTGCTGCAAAATAAGCATGGATTGCCTTGCATTGTTTAATGTCTCAAGTATAACTGGGAGATCTGATATTGAGTAAGTTGTCCATTAGCTAAAATTGAGGTGTCTTGCCTTTTCCTATGACCTTTGATGGCACAACTAAGGAGAAAAAATGAATTGGGCTTAACACATTGGTGTCAACTGTGGCTCTATAATGCAAAAATTCCTTACAGAGCCTTGTTATCTAACCTTTCAGTTCTGAAATACACCTTCTCTTAGTTTCAGAGCAGGAATCAAAAATGCTATTTAGAAATAACAGCACAGCTCCCAGGAAAATGGTTTCCTTTGTAATGGCCATTTAAAATTGCCATTTAAAAGCTGGATAGCTGAGATAACCCACAACAGAAAAGAGAAACACTAGCCTTGTAATTTTTTTGTCTTTGTTATGATGAATAGAGAGAGAGGGAGGGTAAATATTTTTTTTTAACTGAGTTTCGGATTTTTTTGCTTGGTTGATGCTTTTTTCTCTGGTTCATTTTGAGAAGATATTCCTGTTGTAGATCCATACTCCAGTTAGGTGGGGGGAAAAATAATCTCAATATATGTCTTGTTCACATCCTGTATAACTCAGAGCTAAACCAGCAAAATCAAAGAACAAATATCAGAACTATGAAATCTGCCTTAAAAATCCCCAACTTTTTCATGCTTTTAAATAGATATTTCAACATTCATTTATACATCATAAAGTAACAAAAAAGGTACAATTTCATTTAAGAATATTTTCTGTGGATCCATTTTATACAAATGGGAATCATAGTATGATGGGGATAAATAAACACAGCTGTCAGCACAATCAAGAGTAGCAACAAATTGAAAAGAGTAATTTAGCTTAAAATCTAATATACTTGTCATTAAAGTTTAAAGACTGAAATTAAATAGCAGAGACCTTGTCCCCCTTTTATGTAAGGTGGGGCTGGAAAGGAAAATTTCCTTGTTGAATTGTTACTATGAGAAAAGTACACACACTTACCATCACTGTAATCAATGGGTGCATAAGCTCCTAGGAAAAGGGAAGCTGCAAAACTACTAACCAAAGAGATTCTCTGAAAGAAAAAGGGTGAGAATAGTGAGTGCCATCAGTATTCACTTTAAAGAAAGTAAATAATTAAGTAACTGGAAGCAGCAAATGTTAATAGATGATTAAAAGCTAGGCACAGAAAGCACACAAAAATACACCTAGAAGGATTATTCAGTTCTATCTTACTGCCTAAGTAGTATGCAGATATCAATCTAAAAGTAACCCCATGATAAAACCTGTTAATAGCTTTGCATTCTGAAACATGCAAAATATACCTAGTATTTTAGCATACTCCATGTTATCATGAATTAATTCACAACTTCAGTGTATCACAGAATTTCATTTCAAGGAAAAACACTTACTAATGGGAAAAAAAAAACCAAACACACAACAACAACAAAAAAAACCCCACCTACCTGTATGTTGACGACAGAGGAAATGCCCAGAAACCATGCACTGGTCCACCCAGAGCACAGGTCTGTAAGCTTTTTAGCAGTTCTGGCAAGGTTCTGCTAGCACCTTTATGTGAACTCTTACCTTCCTCCCAGCTGAGACCCCAGACCTCCCAGGAGTTACTCCCAGGAGCCGGTAATAATCAGCTTTGAACTGAAACACTACCTGCAGCTCTGCTTCACAGTATGTTCCAACAACGCATTAAATCCAGCTGTAGGGCTTCTAAAACTGGCCCAAAACTGCCCCAGCCACATGACACAACACACTGATCCAATACGAACTTCAAATCTGCTATACAAACAACCAAGTTAACCTGCTCTCGCTAAGCGCTCTGCATGATCAACTATTACCTGTTCCCAAGAAGCTGGCATAAAAGCTGACAAATTCCTTATTGTGTGCTGTGACTAATTCAGAAGAAATATGGTTGTCACCCAATAACTAATAAGAATCAAATCTCTACTGGTTGAGTGAGCCAGCAGTGACAGGTTTTTTTTTATTAATGATCACAAAACCACTGCTTCACACAGCATTCAAAGACGGACTATAGCCAGAGCTCTACAAGGTGGTTATAATGGCCAGGAAACTTAATGATGCGCTTGCTCTTCATGCGTCTCTCCCCAAGAATATATCATATCGTACTTAGATAATGAAGGCCTACCTTCCATGGTGCCCCAGTGGGCACTAGCTGCCTGCAACGGAAGGAAAAGGATGAAGTTAAACTGTGAATCAGCCAGTTTAGCAAGCTGACCTACAGAAGGAAAAACATCCACCTTCCACTTGTCACTGAGACTGCAGAGCTGCTAAGCGCAGCTCCCCAAGAGCAATTCTGGCATAGAGGTATTTTGTGCTTGAACATACATCTTGCATATACTTTATTGCTGAAAGGTGCCCTCAATGCAACTAGCCCTTGAAGTCTGAAATTGGCCTGACCCACTTCCACCCCATTAACGTATCTTTCTCTAAATTTAGTCTTAAGCTTATGATCAGACTGTGTTAGTGTTCTGTTTCATCCCATACCTTACTAGCGTAAAGGTTATACAATGAAAACGTACTAAGAAAGAAAAAAACTATTAAAAATTAAGCACTCTCCCACAAAATACAGAGTCAACTTTGCAACTCACTTCCCCATAAAATTAACTGTTTCATGCAAGGGTGAGATTTTAAAAAACACAAAAAATTTATGATCAATGCTATCAAGAACTGCAGAAATACAAAAACAGGAGCAGCCTGACTTCATGGGTCTGGATGTTTGGCATATTCTAATCACAGGACAGGAGTTCTTCTCTCATTTACATCAAACTTGCACAGAGTTTTCACCTTGCTGCAAACCATGGCATTTCAGTCGCAGCTAGATGCAGGCTAAACAAACTGAAACAATAATGGAATTCCAAGCTGATTTCTGAAAATTAAAAATCCAAAGGAAAATAGCTACACAATGCAATTCAATGTAATAATAGAATCAAAATAGCTCCTCAAGGGAAAAACTATGAAAAAAAGTCTAGAATCAATTGCAGTTTTTTTCCTATGCACATCTGCATGGATGCCAGCTTTGTATGGCAGAGCAATCACATTTCTGCATGCAAATGGCCAGTTCTAAGTGTGAAAATTTCAACTCTGTGCTTAATTATCCGCCTCTGTTCGAACTGCTGTAAATACAATTTATTACCACTCAAGCAAAAGTCTGTTTTTTAAAACTTCTTCCACAACGGTAAGATCCAATGGAGGCTGCTATGTTAAATGTAACATTGAAGATAGAACCAATGCTTGATTTTCATCTGCCTAAAGACTAATAATTTAACAAAACAAACAAACAAAAAAAAACAATCAAACTTTCAGCTTTAATCTTAAAATCAAAACCAAGAATCAAAATACTCTTTAGTAAAAAAGTGTGTAAAAAAAATTCCCACAAAATTAATTTTAAAAGATTTTCAACTGTGTTTTCCAATAAATGTATTGAAGTTGAGCCAACCTCTGTTTGCATGTAGACCTCAGGATTCTGGCTGTAAATCTTTGCTATCTGGTTTCCTGTAAAACGCTGAGAAAGAAATGCAAATGCTTAGAAAGACAAACCTTAAATCGAGTCAATAATCGTTAACTCTGTGTAATGAGTTCAGTACATTGCACTTTGGATATTTAATTTGCTTGATGCATGATGAAAGTCAGTGCACAGCAGGCAATCTGCACTAAGCAGGCTATAACGCATAGTCTCATTATGAGAATTTTGCTCACCTTTTGAAAAAAAAAAGTATGTGAAAAAGCATTACTATCCATAATTTACAATTCAGAAATGACAGTTCAATGGAATGAATCACACTTATTCTGTGCACAAGAACCAGCACAATTCAAATGCTGCCTTCAAATCCCTGAAAAGGTTTAAGCTACCCAACCTACGTACCTCTCTGTGAGGCAGGTGAATTGGGAGCAAAGCAGGAAGTTTCATACTCAAAGCAACTCCAGCACAGGCTAATAATAGTTGTAAGAATAATTATTTTTCTTCCATGTATTATATCAAATAACAGTAAACTTCTAACACTGAAACCTTAACCTTTAGCAAGTTAAAAATAAACTGCTGGTGGTATGCAAGTCTGATTTCAACACTGGCCATAAACTTTGATGATGATTCAAAACCAGAATCAGCAATTTGGGAGGTTAGAGCCTTATTCTGTTGAACCAACAGCAAGAGTAGGCAGGCACTGAGTTGCCTGGAGGGCAGCCTTGCTCCCACTCCATAACCCATTTTCACAGTTACAAGAGAGGGAAGCATCAGGAAGGGGAGACAAGTGACACAGTACTCTCTGATAGCACCCCAAACTTCTGAAACACTTCTCTTAGGTCAACAGCTGCTTGTTAGCCTTCAGGGAATATTAGAAGGCCAATCATTTAATTGCAGAAGTAACCTAGAGCAGTGATCCACAAACAGGAGGGTCATAACCCCAAGTAAACCTGAAACACAAATGGGATTGCCATCCCAATGGCAATGTGGCTGCACAGGAGCTCCCAGGGGAGAACCAGGCCCTGAGACTGTAAGCATGGCCACCAAACATTGTACTTTGGAACTACTGGCCAAATGCAACAGCTCACCCCAGATGCTTCCTGCAGCAAAATTTCCAGTGTTTGCCTAATTTCACTTTAAAATTTCCACATCTTCCCATTGTGAGACTACTGTAAAGCACAGTATCATTGGAGTTTCTTCAAAAACTCTCTTTTATAGTTAATGGCTGATCACTATCTGCTGTCGTACCACTGTAATGGCAAAATTGTTTTTATCACAGGACTCTGCTGAGGACTTTCTCCCCATCTGCTCCTTACCTCATAGGCTCGAGAACCAGTGATACTCGCTAGGTGCTGTGCTCCCCCCACGGCTTTCTCCAGAGTGCTGCACTGGGAAGCTGTGCTAGAATCCATCCAGATTGGGCTGTTACTGACAGAAAAACAAGCCTGAAACGAACAACATCCTTCATTAGTAAGTCTGATCTCTAAGAAGTCTCTGCTAGAGTAACAGCAATACAGCAGACCTATGTATCAGCTCACAGTTCAGTTTCCTGCTGTGCCCTCTGGTCTCATCTCAATAATTACAGGAAAGCAGATATTGGGCAGCATGTTGGTCAGTGGGGAAAAATTTAACTCAAACTTCACACTAGGGGAAAGCAACAGGCTTTTTCTGCTGTTACTTGGCATAACCTGCAGCACGATGTGTACTTACATACCCTGCAACGTGATGCCTCAGTATATTCCTTTGGCAGTCAAAGCCTCGGGCCCTTTTATGCAAGTTTAGCCCCATGTTTTAAGAGGCTAAATCAGATTATCTTTCCACATCTCTACTAACAGATTTCTCTTTAATGACTGACATAACCATTTTGAAATGCAACCGAGGCTTAGTACATCACCAGAGAGCATTTTAGTTACATTTCCATGAGTTTTGCATAGACAAGATATTTCAAATTTAAGCATTTAGCAGTTCAATTACACAAATGTCTCCCTTTCAACATAAAACTGTCCTTTCTGATCTTGAAGTAAGGAAGGTAAGGGTCTTCAAGAAAGTTGATTCCTCCCTACTTTTCTTTTTAAATAAAAGTTTGTCAAGTCTACGCTCAAAACTCACCAACCACACACACAAAAAAATGTTGAGGTTCAACAATGTACTTGTTATGAGTTTCTATCCACACAGCATTACACTTCCATCCTTTCAGAGGTAAGTGTAAACTGGTCTTTTTTTTTTTTTCTAATGAAATGGCAAGCACTGCAAGGAAACACACGTACAATAGTATTTTTCACCACAATTTTTTGTTAATACAAATATATTTTAACAAGGTAAAATATTTACAGGTTGTTCACAAAAATATTACGTTTCCTAAAAGAATAAACAGGCTGTTCCTCTGACACAGAAAGATTCTGGGACACCCACTAGCACCTGCAAGCTTTTAAAGCAGTATATATTGTCATTCAGGAAAAAAGGAAATGTCAAAAGCCCTGAAGCTGAAGGAATAACCAGTAGATTTCACTTTATGCTGCACGGGCATGCAACTCAGCCAAACATGACGAAGGGTTTGCAAGGAAAAAAGTAATGTGTAAGGATCAGAAAAAGGACAGCACAGCTCTCCCTTCAGAGCTCTTTAACGTACATTACCTTCAATGACTGATGTAAAGGCAGTTCAGGTGCTGCATTCTTTAAAACTTGGATGCTTCCTTTTTTCCAGTACACACTCCCATGTTGCTGCAGAAAGTATAAAAACAGAAGCTGGAGATGTTCTCCCAAGCTGCAAAGTTCATATTTGCATGTAGACATGGTGCTTAGGGACATGGTTTAGCGGTGGTCTTGGTCATGCTAGGTCTATGGTTGGACACGATGATCTTAAAGGTCCTTTCCAATCTAATCAATTCTACGATGCTATCCTGACCTGAATTCTAAGGGACAGAGAACTCTCTTCAAACCAGGACAAAAAAATGCACCTTCTCAAATCAAGTGCCTCATTAAAAGACTCTTTAAGGTTGAGCAAAGCATATACTAAACCAGAAAACGTAGAAGTCAAGAGACAATGATGATTTTGAACTATCGCAACTTCTAGTGGGAATTATTATTATACAGCTAATGGCATTAGATACTTCTTTGAGGGCTCTTTGAGCTGTAGCCAGCGCTGCACAGTCAAGACTGTTAGTTCTGTGCTATTTCAGCATAGCCCCTAGATTCTTCAGTTACATGCCTGCCCCAGTCACCACTAACAGACTGTATAATATTGATAAGGTTATTCAAGCTCCATCTCTGAGATGGCTTCCTCAAGACAGGCATCTCTAGTTATGCACCTGCGGGACAACCTAGGCAAACTGCAAAGCACCATCCAGTGACCCACTGATAGTTCTGATGATACCAGGTGCACACAGAATGCCCTGGGGCCAGAGTACGTGACCACAGTGTCATCCAGACTGTATTTCACATCTCTCTGCCATTTTCTGCAGATAATCGAGACCAAGTTTGTCCCTTCTCTGGGACAAACATTGGCACATCAGTGCACCTCCGCAGTGATCTGCAGCATAAAGACAAGGTTTTTCAAAGGGAAAAGGGAGAGAGACAACGTGGGCTGGAAGGCGCCAACTAAATGAAATCTGTTCTACCTGAACAAATCTGAATATAGCACCAAGTTGATATCCCCAACTTGCTGGAGGATGGGTAAATTAAAGGGAAAATGGGCAATCCGGAAATACACTCCCTTTTTTCACTTGAGTAAGTTGAGGTTACTTGGCAGTCCCTAACTCCTGTTCCACTGAAGAATTTGAAACACAGCCTTGATACTGGCTATGATTTTCAGACACTTTGTTCAGCCTTTCAAATAAAATCAATGAAACATGGAGATCAAAGCAAGAGTTTTGATTAATTAGTTCTAGATATTTCAAGACTAATAACCTAAACCTCATGTGTCAGAATTAGCTATCGCTTCGGTGCTGTCCTCACCCTGAATATAGTCTGTGAAAGTTACGAAAGACTTCCTTGTTTCACCAGAGCACTTGAGATTGGCTAACTGACTAAATGTCAGGATGGGTTTTATAAATCTCAGAAAAAAAGGCATTATGCACCAGAGGCTAAATCATGGCAGCATCTTTGTCATTTCTGCATCAAAGACTATCATAATTTGGTTTTTGTTGTTCCTAGGCAGATTTATATCCTAGCCAACAAAAAATGGGTTCAACAGGATGTTACTACGCCTTTAGCAAACTGCGCTCCTCACTATTTTTTCTACCCTATTTCCACAAGCACCTGGATGTGCTGAAATTCAAAATGACCTCAGTCATTTCAGAATCTGTATGTACAAAGACTTTAAACAAGAGGAAACCAACTAGTTATGAACTATACTGATTTAAACAACCGCACTGTAAACCTCACCCCTCTACTCCCACTACCTTCTAGAGATTGCTTTGTGTGCTTCAGGTTTTAAGTTCCTCCGAGGAACGTGTCTTTTAATGGACGCTTACATAGAAGCTTTGGTCTTACTTGATGTCATTATGGTCTTCTGCAACACAAATATTTAAATGAAATTTACCACTATACCTTATACTCTATTGAAGAAATATAGTAAGACTGACTCTTCTCTTTATAAACTAACCTGGCCAGCACCAGATAAAGCTCTGACTTGAGAGAAGTTAAAGCCTGAAGACTTCATCTTTTCCAAAATCATGTCCAGAGCCTACAAGAACAAACAGAATCAAGAATGACTGTAACGAGCTATCAAATTATGCATACTCACAATCTCTGGAATTAAACAGTAAATTCAAGTCATCACTGGTAAGACTTCATTGGCAGATAATGAAAAATTAGCTAATGACTACGGACTTCTCAAGAAGCTGCATAAATTAATTTACTAAGTAAGAGTCCGTAAAAGAAAAGTTGAATCACGGGTAGGGGGGGATATCTCTTTAAACAAGCTGAATCACAAAGATCCATTCTTTGAAACCTAAATAAGAGGCAAGAGTTAAAGAAATCCAATTCATTAAAAAGCCACTTTTAACAGTGCCAGATACAAAGCAGGATTCTCTTTTTCTGTTCTTACTTTTGGAAATCTATGAAGTCTTAACAGTGTACATCCTGCACCCCATCCTACAGCAGGTTAGGTACCATCAATACCACTGTCCCCAGTGTCAGCTGAAAACTCAGAGTCTCTTTAATAAAGGCTAATTCAAGTGAATTTTAGCACTTTGAGCACCTAGGTTAATATTATTGCCACATTTTCCTGAAGTTTAAAACCAAAAACTCATCTATCTTTACACAGTCTCATTCAGATCAGCATTTCCCAGACTGTCTCAACAAATGGACCACTGCAAGACGTCAAAATTTCCCAAGAAACATCATATATCTATATCATCATATAATTAATTTAATAATTACAACTGTTCCTGTTCATTATGGTTCAAAACACCAACTGCAAGCAAATTTTCCAAACCTTTGTCAAATACTGTGGACCACCAGCTGGGGGTTCTGTGACCTTTCAAATATCTTAACTATACAAATCACACTAGTACGACAAATTTACATAGTACTATGTGAGAGTAAATGTTGCAGAATCTGCACAGAAGCAAGGAAGGCTTTCTTTTAAAGTAGAAAAGAATGTTGTATTTCAAAATAAACACCAAAGTGACTGGGAATCACTAAATAAATTGCTCTTTAACCACTTACCAGTTGAGACATCAATTGATTAGCAAAGCTTATTCTAAAAAAATACTGCAAGTAACCTGGATGCTACAAAACCACAGATTTAAGCTAGGCAAAGCGACAGCTGCCCCTTTTGCCTATGAAACAAACAGAGAAGGAAAAAAAGAATAGTCTTTTTTTCAAATGAGGGGAAATCAGAAAAGGATTTATCACACACAATACTATAATAGTAGAGAGTGAAGAAACAAACAAAAAAACATCAAAATATTAGCAACTTCCACTATGTTTGTTCGTAACATTAATATTTGCATACCAAAGATACAGACTAACACTTAAAAGAAACAGAATACAAGCAAAAGGACTATGTTGATTTGAATGATGAGTTTCACTATTGCTTGGAATACATTTCCATTTCAATAACAGCAAGAAAGAAGTTGAACTATACAAAGCTTGTTCATACCTTGACCCACATTAGCACAGGAGAAGTCACTGTCAGTCTGTCACCGTGAATATAGACTCCACCTTGAGTCCTACAGAAAAATGGTATTTTCTCTTGGTAAATTCAGCAATTTTTTACCCACCAAAGTTCTTCAAGTTTATTAATAAACCAAAGAGAGTTTGCAATGCTTTTATGTTAAGAGCAAGGATATGATCAGTGTTTGAAACCTGAAAAAGTGAAAGCCAGCTCCTAGGAGGTGACATAAGAGATGTTTGACCCAATTGCAAAGTAAATAATTTGCACAGAAAGGCTCTGATCTGAAGTAAGATCTTTGATAGACTCCAATGCTGATACTGCTCATTGGCTCCAGTAATTCATAGTTATTTCTAAGTTTCCTAACTGTCACCAGTACTGCCTTGAACCTAGAAGTTGAAATTCAAATTTTGCTGTTAACTCACAAGTAAATAAATGTACTTCTTTGAAACTTGTGACCAGGGAGGACGACATTTGTAAATTCTACTCTGTTTACTGAAGTAAACAAATACCGTCATCCTACATCTTATTGTGAGATTTGGAATCACTGAATTTGTCTCCAAATGCCTTTTAGAAGTTCTCATGCGATTTACTTGCTGTTATCATAGCATTCCACTCTGATACAAAGGCAGTGCTTAATTCTGTGTCCCAAAAAGAAACAGTCATGTCCACAAGTCTGAAATACCAAAAGAACAAAAAATTGCTTTATTTATACATAATACTTTGGGGTAGATTTTTTAAATGCATTTCCTGTCGGGAGTTCTTGCCATATTTACATACCACGGAAGGCAAAAGCATATGCTACCCTTGCCAAGTACGAAGCATGAACATGGCATGAACTTTTTCCATGCCTCCACACATATCAATGAGATCAAATAGGGCAACAGCCCCCCCACTCCGATCTCCAAAGTTCTAAATTGTATTATCCAAGTAAAATATAAGAAGCCTTACTTAAATTCCGGAAGGTCTTTATCAAAGTGAACATTATCCTCATAAATGACTCTCAGTTGTTCATCAATAGCAATGACTTTCAGCTAGAAGATATAAAACAGGATGTTAACAAAAACTAACAATAATTAAATAGCACTTATAACTCATTTATAATAATTCAATTCCCAAGACGAAATGGGAAAGAAGATCACCCCATTCCATACAACTCGCTGAAAGTACAGACACAATTTCACGATAAACAAGTTATTATGCAAATTTCCAGCACGTCACCTATTCAGCAATGTGTACATTTGCTTGCTTGCCTTTCTCCCCCTCATTTTCTCTCTCCTTAATCACACAAGATCAAGATGCAGGCATATGCTAAAGAACAGCAAACAAATTACCAGGTTCGTAGCTTGCATCATGGTAACCAATTTTTCCCAATTCTCCAAAGAATACAGTATCTTAGATTAAAGATGCCATATGCTTTTTCTTTTAATCCCTCTCCTTTTTTTTTTTGCCCCATCTTACTAAGGAACCTAATAGACCCTTAGGATACTTTGAGGACCTTCCTTGCCTCCAAAACGGCGAGTGAATCAAACTCCACCAGTATTGGTAAAGCTCTGAGGGCATTACACAAGTGTATTCTGAGCTTCTGCAACGTACGGAAAGCAATTATCCTGAACAGGTAACTCCATCAAGCTGAGCTTTCCTGTAGGCACACACTAGAAGACTACCACAACATTTCCTCCTCTATCTTCACTTCAGTTCACCCAGTACAGAATAAAAACATTAACAGCCCAGAAGTGAGAAGGTAGCTCACATTTGCACATATTTCAACAAGGGAGAAAGTGCAAACTGATGCTAAAGGAACACACAAAAAAAACCTACAGACGCTAAGTCATCTCAAAGAGCTGTATTCAAATAAGGCAGCCATCCCCATTTTAGCCATTAACGTAGGGCCATTATTTATGCACTGGTACAACTCATTACCAATGTGATGCCCTGCGCTAGCTTAAAAATGGCTCTGACCAACTGCAGCTTAATTGGCTTTCTGCTTGCAGCATGCCCTCTTAAAAAACACTGGATCAACCTAACCTGGATGTCTTTTCAGGCTCCCTCAAACTTCAGCACAGCTGTAATGAAGTGATTTATGCTCGTACACCTATTTTAAACATATTCAGGCCTATGCACAGCCTGGGGAGAGCTTCTATTCACAGCGTAATAGCCGATTGTGCCGACAAATCAAAATTTCAAGAAGCAGCCCAAGCATCCAGGTTCACAGTCCTACTAATCTTGATTCACACAAAGACACTGAAAAAGCTGGATTCGGGTGCAATCCCCAGCTCCCAGCCTGCCTGACAGCGCAGGCAGAGGTCTGCAGGTAGAGAAGGGCCATAGCACTCCTTTACAGGATTAAACTAATCCCTCGCTGGATGAGGAAGCAGGACACGCTAGGACACACAGCCTATGGCTTCAGATAAGAGATGGGACAAACAGAAAGGGATGAAGGATGCCCTTATGCAGGCAAAGGGAAGGAGGCATGCGACCAGCAAGGCACAGGCGGTGCCTGTAGCCCACAGAAGGCTTAAAAACCATGAAGCACTACCCAATTATTTTGCATCTGTGGCAGGCTGCTGGCGTGCATGAACCCTCGGCACTGAGCGCAGCGCAGCATCCTGCAGCAGCCAGCCAGGCCCTGCTGAAATGAGAAAACCCTTCAAAACAAAACCGTCGCTGGGTGGAGGAAAAGAGGCGATGAAAGAGAGGAGGAAGGCCTTTTCCCCTTGTACAGCGGCAGGTCAGTGGGCCACGACGGCTGGCGGGCGGGCCAGCCCGGACCTTGCCCCCCCTTGCA